TAGGAAACTTTTCCTATACCGGATGCGGTACGGTGCGGCACGCGATTCAACGCGTGGTAGTAGTATCCACCAGTAATGCGGTAACGAGGAAGGAGGGGGGGAAGAAGGTGGATGAAAAAATATCCGGGGCACGGACAGTTGTTTTATTTAATTAAAATTTTTTCCCACGAGGGAAGACTGGCAGAAGAGAGAGGAGGAAATTCGGCTCGTAATCGTATAACCGTGCGAGTATTATCCTATGTACATATACATGTACACGTATATACATGTATATACATATATATATATATATATGTACACACGATAACGAAGAACTCGCGATCTCCCCTCTCTGCCTAACGAATGATCGTCTCCTGTGAACGAGAAGAGCGGAAACGTCGACGTACGTTACGGTTAAGACGCTCCTCTCCGTTCCGGAGATTCCTCCTTTTCCACCGACGAAATTAGCGGAGGACATGTTTATTGTAAATGAATCCTGGTCCGGGAGCGGCGGCTCGTGGAAGACTCGTGGTACATGTTCCTGAGGGGAGAAGGGAGGAGGGTGGCGGCGAGTCGTGGAGGGACGAAGACGCGGGCGAAGAGGGAGGAGGAGAGGGTAGTTTGGAGGGCGCGCGCGCCCGCTGCCCCGATTTATGCGCCCGTTACCGAGCCCTCTGGCGCAATTAAGCTCGCGTTATAATATTGTTGTTTATTCTGAGCCTCGGCTGCGAAGCGTTAACCACCCCTCCGCCCCACCGTTCCGGCTCTACTGGCAACAACCGACCCTGCGATCCCCTAATCTCCCTGACGCGGCAGCCTAGAATCCCTCTCCCTCCGCTTCCTTCTCTGCCAGTGCTCCTCCAGCCCCCCCCCCTCCCCTCCTCCTATTTCCACGCGCCCCTCTTCTCCCCTTTTTTCTTTCTTTCTTTCCTTGCTTTCTTCCTTCTTTATCCCCGTCGACTTACAGCATCAGCGCCAAACAACTAGGGAGGGGGGCTAACGAGTAACCCCTCCCCCCCCCTCCGCGACAAAACGAAACGAGAATTTTCGCTCTCGTCTCCGAGAGGAGATCCTTGATTCGAATTTATTTTGACGCGCCGTGAACACGTTAACGGCGTTAATGAAGCTGGCTTTTCGAGATTTCGAGTGGGGAGAGGGAGGGAGAGAGGGGGGCGTTTGACGTTTCGATCGTTCGTTCCGATTTGGATTTCCAAATCCAACCATGGCCGGCCGGCCATACCCGTACGATCGAGCCTCTCCAAGATTTATCGTTCGAGGGGTTGCGAGGATCGAGAGAGAGAGAGAGAGAGAGAGAGAGTGTAGATACCTACCTCGGGATCGATCGATTTAATTTTAACCTTCGTTTCTCTCTTTCTCTCTTTTTATTTTCTTCTTTTTCTCACGAAACGTCAAATCGTTTCGCGACAGCGAAGCTCTCAGTCCTCCTCTAGCATCTCGAATTTATCCCCTTGTTTACATAAATTTGAGGAATCTATAATTAAAACCGCGATCCGTCTTTATCCCGGTTCGGATCGGGCGATTTATATATTCGAATAACGCGTGAATCACCTCTTGAACCGGTTTCTCTCCGTCTCCCAAATCCGTCGAAAATTTTCCCCCCGATTGCTCGAAAACCGTGTCGAAACCGCGTTTAAAATTATCGTCTTATATTAAAATTGAAGTTTTCTTCGTTTCGATTCATCTCTCTTCGAAAGGAGCAAAAGTGACGCGAGAGGTTTGCGAGGATCGAGAGAGAGAAACAGAGAGAGAGAGAGAGATCTCCCTCGATGACTTCAACATCGGATGGGTTATACCGCTCGGCACGGTGATCAAGATCGAGCTCGGCGAGTCGAAAGGTGGAGGGGAGAAGGGACATATGTATAAGGGGGTAGAGTCGGAGAAAGAGCGAGACGGACGCAGGTGCAAGCTGCAACGGTACGGGACGGACGTACGGACGTACGAACGGCGGACGAAGGTGGGATTGAGTTATGACAGCGTTTGCTCCAGGGGGCCGGCTCTGGACCCGACGAAGCGGATATTCTTCTTATTCTTTATTTCTTGGTCTGCGGCCCCGCCGTAGAAACCGTCGGCCATGCATCACCTTCGGTTCACTTTGGTCCTGCCTCCTCCTCGGCATCGTTCCACGGCCACACCACCATCACGGCCCATCACGATCCCACCTTGCCCATCGTTCCAAACGTTTGATTCCACCCACCTCTCTCTCTCTCTCTCTCTCTCTCTCTCTCTCTTTCTTCCCGTTGTAAAAGGTTTACATTTACCCGATCTGTTCCCTAACTTTGCAACTTCCATACGTGCGCAGAGCTTTCCAGATAGTTAGTTAGTTAGTTAGTTAGTTCTGGACGAAATCCAGATACGGGCGATAAAGAGAGAGAGAGAGAGAAAGAGGAGGAGGAGTAAGAAACGTTCTTAAACGTAAAATAGACGATAGGGACGATGATAGAGACGATGTTTCGAGACGGAGAGTCGGAGTTGTTCGGGTTGACAGAGTCGAGGAAAGAGTCGGGGCGAAGAGTCGCTTGTAAATCATTCGTGGTAATAAAGATCCACTTGTCGTGGCTCGATATTTATGAATCGCCCTCGGTTTCTCCTCTGAGGAGAATCGGCTTTTAACTCTCTCTCTCTCTCTCTCTTCCTCTCTCTCGTGGCTAGCTCTCGGGATGAACGATCGTCCGATTTCGAGATAATCGAAGAGGTCAGGGGCGGAGGGGACTAGGCCGCGAAGGACTTGCCACGGCTGAGAGGAAGAAGAGTTTGGCGGAGGAGAGAGAGAGGAAGGCGTGGAAGACGAGAAAGGCGAGGAGAAAACGAGCCGAGAAAGCGACGGGGGGAGGGGGAGGCAGTCGAGGCGGAGGAAGGAGGAGGAGGAGGAGGAGGGGGAGGAGGCCTGAAGAAGTCCGTTCGAGAGTCGACGTTCGTTCGTTCGTTCGTTCGTTGTGTAGTACGAGGCCGCAGACCGACAGACCGAGCGAAGGACCGCGAGGCCATAAATACCTCACCGCGTTCAGCCAATTAAAACAAATCATTTTAATGCGCAACCTTTTTAATTAATGCCCGTGCTCGTTCGCTCTCATCCGCTTCCCTCCTCTCGGATAGTACACGATCGCCGCGCAGCCTCCTCCCTCCCTCCTCCTCCTCCTCCTCCTTTCCATCCGAAGAGAACGATCGAGGCTGTGTATTAACCTGTGCGCGCACGGTCGCCGCACTATCCTCGAGCCTCGTTTCATTCGCGAATTCTCTCTCTCTCTCTCTCTCTGTCTTCTTTTTTCTCTTCTCGTCGACTGACTCATCGTACGCGTTTATTATACACGTTTTCGCGAATTTTCAGTGTGGGGAAGGGGGGGGGGGAAAGAAAAGAAAGGAAGAAATAATTCACATTTCGATTTTTAACTTTCTTTTCTTTTTAAGAATACGAGAAGAATTCTTCTCGTGTCGTCTCCCCCCTTTTCCATTATATTGACGAATATAAGGACGATACGTACGTATCCGCCGCGGATTAGACTTTTAAATGACCTCGAGTCGGGCCGGCGCATATTTCACGAGATGACGGTGGACGTCGCGCTAAATCATCCGGAGTGACCGCATCCGCTTACCCAATCGGACCGAGACTCTTCTTAACGGCCTCTTGTCACGCCTGCGACATTCCGACGAAACACACGCGTCTCCTCTCTCTCTCTCTCTCTCTCTCTCTCTCTGTGCCTCCGTCCTCTGTGTGTTCATCAACCTTCTCCGTTCCCCTTCCGTCAATGTCGTCGCCGCGAGAGACGCCGCGCTTTTGTCGACCACCATATTAATATTGTTCTATCGGAATTCCAATCCCCCGGAATGGGCCTACAACACGAGATTTCCCAACGCTATAATTCACGTGGACGGCGACGAGGAACAAGCCTCGT